GAGAGTCGGTCACATTTATGTAAATTTTACAGGTTTATCAATTCCTCTTGCGCGAAGTCGTACGTGTACCGTGTAATCGCGACAACTAATCGCGATGTCGTAACATCATAGATAGAGACATCCTGTCGCGACCATTTAGGATAAGGAAAATATATAGAGATAAAGAGTAGGAGGAAAAGCAATAATCAGTATCACAGACATCATGCGTTGTGTTCTCGCGACGGCGTTATTTCTAGGAAATCACGTTATCAACACGAAGTCCAACTTTGGACGCGACTCCAATGGACATGAGGAGAAAGCAGAGAGAGGCTCTCTGCGCTCGTTAGTCGAAAACTTCCCGGTGTTCCTTATCCAAATAACAACCGCAACACTCGGACACCGTCCGCACCAGCTGATATAGACGGCACAGAGGTGTGTAGCGCCGGCGAGTGTGCGTGATGTCGTACCCGTTGGCAGATTACATTTCGCGCACCTTTGGAGTCGACGTCCGGTAACGGTATATTCAATCGTTATACACCGGGCGAAAGTATCGGTGAGTCCGTTGTCGCGCTACCAGGAGAGAAACTAGTGAATATTTTCTTTGTACACGCACCCTAGAAACTGTTCCGCATCTTTAACCGCGGCCGGACACAGCCGTTAACCACGATGATGCGTTGTCGCGTATCTGCGTATCTGCCGACGATACGTACGCGCAGCACTGCCACGAAAAACAGAAAGAAACAAGAGGGAAAGGGGAATGAAACGATTTCCGTCGGCGTGCGCAAAACTGCGTTTCACCGTCGTCGGCGTCAACCGTTGGCCCTGCGTGTCGTTAACCCTCGGTAACGCACACCCGCCGAGACGCACGTTTTCAGGCATATTTTTAGCCGTCTGGCGTATCAGCTCTCGCACTTTCAAGTTGAATCAAGTTTCCTCGACGATCTTACGTCGCGTGGCCGTCACGAAGTGCGTAATTATCGTCGTACACGATGATCCGGCGCATTAACGACGATTATCTCGCGCGTTTTGTCTTTCTGGACGAGGTGACAAGTGTCACTTCGCCGTCAAAACAAAGAGACGCGAGCCGATATCCGGTGGTTGGCGGGCAGATCGATATCTCGGGGAGCAAGTAGATCAATTTTCCGCGGTGACAGGCGCGCGACGTATATCACTTGATGATGATAATATTAATATTGGCGAAACATGCTTGTAAATAACAGAAATCATTTATCGTGTCGGAAATAACCGCCTAAGGTTATGAATAATTCGTACGCGCGATGATGCCGTGTTCTGCATGCGTTCTCGGCCACGTGTCGCGCAAGCGATTTCCGTCTCGCTCGGCCGAAGGTTTCGAGAACGCCTCGTCGAGTGTAAGGGAAGCAGAGAAACGAAGACGTGTACACATCATCAATCAAGATTCAGGCATCGCCAACAGGCCGTCGCGGCTCGCGATCGCGAGATTAGGTATACTGAGTCTATTATTAAAGATCGGCGTCTCTCTAAAGGGTCGTCTACAATGCAGTTGCGTTTTAAAGTCGTGCACTGAGTAAAGTCCTTCGGTTGTCAGAATAAAAGCAAGTTTGCTGGTGGATGATCGTTCGGGAGATAGATCGAACAATTACCGTTGCAAATCACTTCTCATTATTTGCCACTTTAACAAACGTATATTTGTTCTCATCTGTGTGGGTCAGATTAATTATGTCTTCCATTAGAAGAATTGCTTAGAGCAACAAATTGAAAGTAACAAATCATTCGTTCCCACCACGACTGGATCATTTGCTGTTCCACATCAACGAATTATTTGATGCGGGTACTGCTGTTTTGTTAAATTAGCAAAAATTTTCTTTCAGAGCAACGCTAATCTGTGAATCGGTCATGTATCTGTTTTTTTCGTGTAAATTCGTGAAAAATGAAAAGTTTCGTCGATGAGTACGGTGAAGATTTTCATTTTCCACGAGTTTGCACGAAGGAAGTAGATGTATGATCGATTCACAGACTAGAGTGCTACGACTTCAAGACGTAAAGACTGCGGCCGCATTGTAGACGACCCTTTATAGTTTCGCGTTATTAATACGACTTTGTCGGCGTGAAGCCGACCATCTCTCTTTCCCCCCTTCCTCTCTATTTCTCTCTTTCTGTCATCGTCGTGGTCTTTTTTCTCACGAGGCAATTTTGGCGAGACGCCCGTTGCCGATGTATGCCGCGAGGACGGCCGACGAAACGAAAGCCGGCCCTTCTCTCGCTTTTGACTTTGTCGTGGTGATTACGTCGCGACCGTTGCCGAAATAGCGCCGAACAAAGCGGAAAGAACATACGCTTACGTCCCGTTGACGTCGGCGCGCGAGGAGCGTATTGGGGAATTTATTGAATTGCACTGCACCGATATATTTCTCTCCCTTCCTCCTCCTCGATGACGATAATGATCGGAGTCGACGCACGACGCGCTCCACACATACGAAATGTCGCTGGCCGTTCTTTTAAGCGAACAGGTTATTTTTTCAGGCCAAAAGAGCAACAAGTTCGGAAATTTATTTAAAGAAATATGTTTGAACATTATATATGCAGATAAGTACAATATTTGCATTAAAACATAATTTATAATTATTTTTGTGCGAAAATGATGTCACAGCATCCATTACGTGCAACTCTCTTGCACAACTCTCTCGTTTGCATGATTTATGTTTGTACAATAGTCCAATAAAAACATGAAAAATTTTCTTGTAAAATAGAATTGCAGTTATAGTCTCTCGAGTCAGAATTTTTATTCTCAAACAATTGAAGTTTTTGTCTCATTTTAAGAAGAAATTAAAATTTTTTGTTTTTTGAAAAATGCTTCTGTCTTATTTTATTAAAAAAAAATTTAATTGAAAATAAAAATTCTGGCTCGACAGATTATAACACTCAGTAGTTCTCTTTACATATATTTTCGAATATTGTTTTTGTAGTCTGAAAAGATAAGTTGCTCTCTTAATACGTTCTCGTTATCAAAGTTATTTAGGGAGAACTTACACCTATGTAATCGTATACAATAAACATAATTTTGATAAAGTGAACATAGATTAAAAATGTTTTGCCATCTCACACATACATAGGGAGAGTTACCAAGTAAACGGTGAATGCTGGTAGTGAACGCCGCGCTGATATTTTCATCGTTTCAACATAACACCTTCGCGCGGTTGTTTGAAAAAAAATCGAAAAATCGATGATGATACATCGTTCGCTACCTTTTTCAATCGCGAATTAGTCAGTCACGAAAAAATCCAGCCATGAATCATTACGAAGCAGTGCTCACCTCGATGGAGGGGCCGCGAGACGAGAGCTCGAAAGGTGATTTTCACGGTACGTTATATAAGGCGCGATATAACCGGGAACAAAAGTTAATCGAGCGGACAGCGGGATGGCGAAGAGAGAGAGAGAGAGAGAAAGAGACAGAGAGAGAGAGAAAGAAAGACAGAAAATGCTCGTATAATAATCGTCAGCGCGATACGCGCGTACGTATGTACGCACGTACATTCGTTATTTCTCCTCGTGTCGTTCACGGACGGATCTCGTTACGACACGTAGGCTCGCGGGGACGATAGCTTTCTCGAGAATCATGACCTCGCGCCGGCGACTCAAGGCTCGTCGTTAACCTTTTTCGATTTTCGCTACCCGAAGCAACGACGCAGATAACGTGACGCGGGTCCGTGTCCGTCGCTAACGACGTTCCTCACACTAATTTCGCCTCGAGAAACACCGCGGACAGTTTCTCGAGAATACACGAGGGGGAGATTAGTGTTTCGTATTTCGACAGTTCTAACAATAATCTGACGTCTTGTGCCCACTCCCGTGTCTCCACTCGCTCGTGGCATGCAAAGAGAAGAAGAAATAATCAAGAAGCGACTCCAGGAAAAGCGACATGTTTCAGCGTGTATCCATATGCGTTATGCGCTCTCTTGAGATGAATCAGTAAAAGAAGCATTTCACTGATAACCAGTGAATATTTGTTGATTTTCAGCGAAAACATTTGTATTTTATATCTCACTGATTTTGACTACCACAGTGGTGGAAGTGAGATTTCAAGGCAAAATTTGTAGTACATAAATCTATTGTGTGCTGTGCAACTTTCTGCGTAGGTGGCGATGGAATTAATAGCTTTTGTACGATTTGCGTGCAATGACACTGTGTTTGCAAACTGTATCAATAATAAGGAACAGTCGCTGTTAACTAGGCACTATTAACTGATTCTTTTAGTGTGATTCTCTACTGATTGCTACAGCGTTATACTTATAACTGAACCATTAGTTACAAGTATAGCATCTCAGCGATGAATACACTGATTGTACTTCAGAGAGCATCGTAGTAGCGGGCAAGGCAGATCGCGAATTCCACGGCCATCCTCTTCTTCGTGGGGCTCTCGTGTCGTTTTATTTTCCCCTGCCTTTCAAACGCGAGGAATAACGAGTTACGAATGCGATACAGTCGTGTGTACAACCGTGAAACATACGAGCCGCGCATACAGGAGGGTTTATTATATCCGCACGCGTTCGTGTGCAGACGTCGCTTACAGTGGCTGACGGAGGGATCATGGTTGGGTTGGAGAGAACCTGTCTGTCAGTTTGATCGTTTTGCTTCACTATCGCGGTCTATCGCTCATATACCGCATGTCAGTCTCGGTGTCAATGAACTTGGCTCATTCAGCGAAAGAACCGATCGATCATCGGCGAAATCGATCGCGCGTCGCGCTCCGAGAAACTCAATCCCGAACAACGTCCAACGCTATTTCGCGAACAGACTTGCGATTTCTCGGCTGTCGTCGCCCGCGAAATTTAAATCATGAGGTATTAGAAAGACAAGTTAAACTGCGGCGACAGGTAGAAATCGGCGTTGTCTCCGCCAAGTACCGACCCCCTCCGAGCCGAGAATTCGCGCGAAACGCGAAAGTCCACACGGTCGCTCCTACCTCGCGTGAGAAACCTCAAAAAACTGAGCGAGAACGTTACAGTTTTTCTGTTCACTCATACGTTTTCTTGCGATTGCAGGTACGGAGATATGCCCTCAGAAGGGAGTCGTGAAGCAGGTGGCCTCGAAACTGCTAAGGGCGCTGTCCGAGAAAGGATTGGCCTTGCTCGTCAACCATGGCATTCCGGAGTGCAAGGTATGAGATAGGAGAGGAGAGAATGGCAGAAGAAGGGAAGGAGAGGAAGAGACAGAGAGAGAGAGTGTGTGTATGTGTGTGTGAGAGAGAGGAGAGCAAGAGCATCGAGGGAGAGACGCGCTTGCAAAACGATTAAGTCGCGAGGCTTCCTTTGATTGATCAGGCGCCGGTGTTGGCGGTCTTGCCGATTTCTATCGCCCGCAGAAACGATCATGCGACTGTCGCAACTCGCTATCATGACGAATAACTCGAAAAGCGTCAGTTGAAGTAAGCCGGGTAACTCATATGACGTATCTACGTTATTGATATATGAAATGTCAAGTTGCGAATTCTGGCTGTAAAACGTTTTTTTTTTCTTATCTGCAGCGAGTCACTTCGCACTCAGGAGAGTTGCACGCGAAATTGCCTTGAAAGACGAAGATTTCGTCGCGAAAAATTGCGTGTATCATTCATTGTGTTATTACTACAATGGTACAATTGACAGTAAAAGTGGTTCACTGACAGTGAACGAATAGTTAGTTAATATGTGTTTGAAAATGCGATAAAAACGCTGTGTGCTCAAATAATAGCTATGTGAACTCCATTTATGTCATAGAGGAATTTATATTCTAGTCACGAAACGACCAATTAATAATGATTAATTAATGATTCCCCGTTAAAAGGAGAAACGCGCGCGTTTGTGTAGTCATTATAGTATATATTATAGTACGCCTATTATAAACTAAGCTTGTAGCAAAATTTTCTATGTTGATCGTGTAATTCTCGGTGTAATTCTCAGTGTAAATCGCGCTCTTTATCATCATTATTTAGGAGTGATTCGATATTCGCAAGTTGCGCGTAAAGAACAGGCGAGTTTTCAAGGGCTCGCAATAAAGACTGTATGTATTGCGCGACGGCGCCGGCCTTGCCGGCATTCGAGCGCGCACTATCGGAAATTTGCGGGTGATATCGGCGACGACGTATATTGCAGTTTCGCGCGATAATCCACTCGCACAACTCACGATCTGTGACAACTTGAAACGTACGTCGTCGAGTAACACTGCCATGTAAGAACGTGAGAATATTATTTCTGCACGCGCCGGAAAGCGCGAAACGCACGAACGTGCCATCTGTATGCTCAGAAAGAGAGAGAAAGAGATAAGACGATTTCTCAAGGACACTTAAAAATTGCTAATGAAGTCGCGATATCTTAATTCTGCCGTTGGACATTAGTCAGCGTAAACCAGAAGGTTAATTAAAGTGCAAATAATTGCTTATCGCGAGATAAACGCGCAGAATAATTCCAGAGGAGGTCATCAAATTTAGCATGCCTGTTCTATTCTGCCGATGCTCTTCGTTCAACTGTTCTTGAACTGTTTCTTGAGTGAAAAGACATCGAAACGTATAAGTGGTGTGTTTCAGTATGTGTGGAATGACGATGTGTAACAAAATCGTATTTTTTTTATCTAACCTCGAGTGGGCCATACACGAAGTTTCAGCTCGTGTATTAGGTGCCAAGAAGCGCCGTGCGTTAAGGATTAAAAAAAGAAGCTTCAAGTGTAAAAAAAATGATATCCGATCGAATACTTACGTGTAATCGACTCTGAATCGATTAAGAGGCAAGTCTTAAAAATTCGGTGACTCATCTTAGAGAGTCACTAATTATCAAGAGAGCCAATAATTATCTATTTCACAGACAAGTGTTCTTTTACAATAAATTATCTAGTTACCAGGATATCACGGTGAGCTTGAAACTCAATAAAACTCGGAGAAGACTCTTTTGAGACACATAAAAGTTAAACACAATCGAACATCACAAAACATATTAAATTAAAAATGAAACAAATTTGAATTAAACGGATCTTATATAATAATTTCAACGTTTTCTACGTTCACATTCCGATATACTCCACAATTTTGACTACAAAGGTCACAATAATTCATACTGATTCTTCAAAGAATCACGGGATCAGGCATTGTCTTCGACAACGTTCAAGGGACTGCGAGAGCCGTGATTCGCGATTAGTAGACCGCGAACCTCGTCAAAGAGAGACACGCGACGCAACGATACGTGGCGGAATATGCCGAAGGAGCGGCACCGCCGGGAGGCACCGCGTGTCACACATGACAGAAATGCACTTTGTTCCACGTATTGCTTTCCAGTATTAAAATGAGATAAGCGCACACATATAGACAGATGTCCGTTCGCGCACTACAACGATGCGATTATCCGGCGGAATCGGGAGCGATTGTTCGCTCACTCGTTCGCAGGTTTTTTTTCCTTCGCGACGTTTTTTCGCCGTGGCATTACATAACGGAAGCGTGTATGCGATATTACGCCATCGATAAAGCATACTGCAATAGTACATCATCATACTGATAATCTCCATAGAGCTTCACCCGCATGAGTAAGAGAACTCGCCGCCGTCACCGCCGTGTGTCGGTATCACGCGACATATGAAACGACACACGTCCGTCAGCGCGTGTGATTCATTGTTCTCCCCTTCCGCCGTGGCCTTTCGTAAAATTATCTGCAATTCGAGAATTTGTGAACGCATGTATCGCGAGAACGTGGTGGGTGCGTGTTACGTGAAATCTTACGCGATTATCCCCGCGCAGCGCGACACACGTGTATGTTTATTATCGAAAAAATGACAGAGGGGGGAGGTATCTCTTAAACATTAATTATCTATTTATATATTTAATCATATTTTAACAAGTCTAAATTATCGGGACATTATGGTAAACTTCAAACTCGTCTCAGGATGTTGACAGCTTTCTTCAGGCGCGGCAAAGCTTAAGCAACCGTTTATCGTTATAAAATGAGACGTGGCCTTTCGTTTGGGTGATTTCGATACATGACGACGCGACTTAATAGTAAATAATCCTTACTAGAATCCTGTGACCGAGAAATAGATTGACATTTAATAAAATTGACTATTCTTTCATTCCATATTTATATTTTAGAAACTGAAATGTGTTATTAAAAAATTTGCTATTCTTTTAGAAATTTATTGTATTTCTTAGCAAGATAGATCTTATTGATAATCTATTCCTGCATTCTTATTAGAAAAAACATAGTAAAATTGAAAAGTATTGATATGAAAAAAAAAACTATAATATTCTCTCACGGAGAGAATTTTGTAATAAAAAATTTTAATTTTAAATATTATATACTTTACAGTAATTTAGTATTCTTTCATTTCATCTTACTGATCTTACTGACAATTTATTTCTGCACTATTAGGAACATAGTAAAATTGAAAAAAATTGATATAAAAAAACTATAATATTTTCTGCATATAGAATATATAAATTTTCATCAGAATAAATTTTACTAACAACCGCTCGTCTTCCGTCTAATTGTTCGAAGAGACTCAAGCGCAGAGACAAAATTATCCACACGGAAAGCGAAGAGACTCTTCTAATTGCTCCGGCAAATATTGTTCCCCAGTCGATTATTCAAAACTATTTGTTTGCACAATTGCGACAAGGAAGAGAGAAACATGCATGACGATGGAACTGAGCGCGAAACCTTGGTCGACTCGTCTTTTTTTCCCCGTACGGGATTCGCAACCGATTCTCGATTGATGCACGAAAGTTATCAACTGAAAGTGTCTTGTATGTGATACGCGCAAAATCGTACATTTCTGAATATTACCGGAATGATCCGGATACGCCGCCGTGTAATTGTTAAAAATGGTAACGCGAAAGTCTCGATTTGAAATCCAGAAAGGTGATCCAGAAAGATTGCCGCCGAGAGATAGATAAGCTTCGTTCTACGACGACAATAATTCTCATTGACGGCGGGATTTTCTTGTCGGCGAGAGTACAGAGATATATACGCGTTTGTGTCGTTTTCCTTTTGCTTTGGATTTCACAATGAGAAGACGAAGTGAGAAACAGAAAGTGAATTTCACGTGTCTCGCTTCGCTACGTGCGTTGTAACTCCGATTTTTTTTTTTGTATATTTGCAGATGAAGGCAGCTTACAGAGCCTTAGACGCATTCTGCGAGCTGCCGGACGAAACGCGAGCGAAATACGAGCGTGCTTCGCCGGATAATCACGGCTACATTAAGCCAGGCACGGAGAAGTAAGTTAGAAAATTGCATCTTCAAATTGTTCTCGCGATTCGCCGCGATTCAATTTGCTGGACGTTCTCCTCTATTAACTTCAGCTATGATCTGTAACTCGATAATGGCACGAGAAGCAACGACACTACATTGTTCTCTCTCTCGCGCCTTGCACGAGTACAATCGCGAGTGCATTGAGGATACTCCAAGGAAAATTGATCGTTGTGAAAGCTTAATTAAAACACGTCGCTCGTATTGCTCGGAATGATTAATTTAAATTATCTGTTGTGAACACAATCACGTAAAACTGAGTGCGGTATATGGCTTATGCAGCACAAGTGATTAAACAGAAGTAACGTCTGCATTGCAGATAGTTGTTTCAGTGCCACGGATGTGTACTTTTTAAAAAATGTGTATCGCCTCTCGAGTGCGAATTCTTAATGTCGTTTACTCTTTACTTAAAATTAATCCTTTCTTTCTGGCATCTCCGATTAGATTTTCGGACGAGATGGAGCTGAGGCACGCGTTCAACGTCACCGGATGCAAAGGAAATCTGCCGGAAAAGGAAGTGCAAGGCTTTCAATCGGCGGTGGATGAGTTGGAACGCGATTTTAAGCAGTTGGCTACCATGCTTCTTGCGGTAATAATGTTTTATTGGTTCAATATTATTATCGTTTGTAGTCTTATTACATTTTATTGTCGCTTTATATCTTGTTGAAAGATGACTACAATTTATCCTCCGGAATGTCTATTATTTTATTTTTTCTTGAAAGCTTTTTCTGTGTTGTTATCATCTTATCTGTTCTTTCGTGGTCGAATTTCAACGAAAAAACCATTTGTGTTCTCGATTTATGAAAGAAGATAATCTCCACTCCTGACTTATATATTCATTATGCCATGTTGCCGTAATAATTTTTGTCTAATAGCCATCGTATCATATTCGACTTTGACTTGTCCACGTTTACATGACCGATTCTTCCGAATCGGGATTTATCTCGTTATTTATTTGTTCCTCTTTGAATATTTATCCTTCATAGTTATCGTCTTATCTATTCCCTCGCGTTTGATGTTTCCACATAGGAGCAGCTTCGCTCTTTGGACGAGATAACCTTCGGCGTTAAAATCTGCGCATTAAAAATAATCTAATATTGAAATGATGGCCACAGTAAAATATTGAAAATATTGACGTATGTTGCAGGCTCTATCCGTGGGCTTGGAACAGTCCTACGACTTCCTGTTGTCGAAGCACGCGCACATACTCGGCTCTGGCAACGAGTCCACTCTGCGTCTCCTCTATTATCCACCATTGAGTGCACCGGTACAAGGACTGACCCGATGCGGCGCCCACTGCGACTATGGCACTTTCACTTTGTTGGCGCAGGTATGCAGATTGCGGTATTACATCGTGCGCATGAAAATCAGTGTCCGGTACGGCCGTGACGCCGTCGTCGAGCTTGCGTTGCGATTGCACCAGTCGTTTTTTCGAGAAAGTACGCTCTATGTACACAGTCTGCTGAGCGTCGTAAATTCCGCGGACGTATCTGCATAATTCTGTCGGAACTGCAGATATCTCGGGCACGTCCCATTCGTTTGTGCAATGCGACGTACAATCGCTTCGCGATAAGCGGCACCACTGCTATCGAATAAAACTTGAAAATATTTCTGAGAAAGGAGGGGTATTAAGTATGCTGAAAGATAATATACTATTAAGCATCTAAAATAAAATTAGTCGTACGCATAGCATTTACATGCCGTGCGCCGCGATTAAGGGAGACCAGACGACAAGTCAGTAAAAAAAATCTAGACTGTATTATACGTATGTATAGCATATATACAGATTTGTGTAAATTACACAATCAAACGTTTTCAGGACTGCGAAGGTGGTCTCGAAATACAGACTCTGCACGGAGAACGATGGGGTAGAGTGGGCCATCTTCCGGGCGCCATACTGGTGAATACAGGCGAGCTTCTTGCACATTGGACCAACGGACAGTTGCCAGCGTTGAGACATCGCGTGGTCATGCCGGAACACTGTGGTCGTGGACGTCACTCCATCGCGTTCTTCATACATCCAGACGACGACGTTGCTGTCGAGCCGTTGGACACGAAGATCATCGCAGCCGGCGATTGCCAGGAAACGACGACTCCGTGCCGCCTGCAGAAGAAGAAGCGCGGCGTTCTCTCAGCATATCAGCATCTTCAGCGACGATTTCGCGAGACTTATGCGTCCTAATGTCGTCCGTGTGATTCTGCATATCCTAAACCAATTTTACACGTTCGTTGAGTCGGAAAGAATAGGCGAAATTTTAATGAGAATTTGGAAAAAAATGATCTTATAGGCAATGAAATTAAGGCCACCGCAGATTAGGTTTTAAATTTTGACTTCACGCGCCTCTCATTATGTCATTTTATGCGGATCACGTAAAAAGAGAAGGAAAGAAAAAAAAATGTTAAAAGAATTCCGTGCAGAATTCCATTCCATTTGATATAAGCACGCAAAAAAGGCAAGATCATTATCGAAGTTTCTGACGGATTGTAATGGTACTACGCTATAGTTTATCTGTCTTCACGATTTTCATTGACGGATATGATCCCTCCATGAAACGAAATTACGAAACTGACCAATGTAAAAAGAAGATTACAACTCTCGAGCAATAATAAATGAATTTGTACTTAATTTGACGGCATCTATATTAAGCGGATGGCATACAGAAAAGACTTCAGCGATAAACGAGTTGGTGAATCGCACTCTAGAAAATTAATGAGAACGTAAGATTGTTACATTAAAAACTTGACTGCAATTGTTCGATTCGTTTATCGCTCAGGTCTTGCTGCTTACGTTTTTTTTCTGTATACCACAGTCTATAACCTTATGTGGACTGAAGAACGACGGCTAGGGTATATCGCGCGGTTTTACTTGATTTAGCTCTAGAATCCGGGATCCCAGTCAGTCTGTTGCGGCTCCTGGATTATCTGATAACAAATCAGAACGTCTCCAGGTTTGTAGGATATCGTATCATCATCGAGCTTCAAGCCACATTCTATATTGGTCTTGATCGTATTTGTTTCATTCTTCATATGCCTCATCGACGTCAATTTTCCTGAAATATATGTCGTGTTATTCGTCGCGTCTCGGGATTGTCAGTTGAACGTTGTGTCTTACCGGTGTAGATGGTCTCCTCTCCACGCATCAAACGGTACATCGCGGTTTTCTTGAGATTGCCTTTGACGCATCGGCAACCTGCGACTTTAAGTTTCTTCTTTTTTTCTGTGATCTCGAACTCTTGCAATACATTCGCTTCACCTGCAAAACAATGGACGGCCAAAATAAATTTACGTCACTCTCTCCGCTCTCTTCCTCTCCCTCGTATGAACATACCTATCACTTTCTCGACATCGACCAGCGGCAGCCTATTATTTATTTCCTTCTTGATGTCATCGACGAGCTTGTAGATTACGTTGTATGCGCGGACTGATAATTGTTTCTTCTCGGCTTCCTCTTGCAAATTCTTCATTATACCCACGTTAAAGTGATATATAACGGCTATAAATATTTCATGATGAAATTCATTGAAGAGATAACACACCGGTCATTCGGTATCGCGATGTATCGTCTTACCACCGAACGTTTCTGCTATATGTAAATCTGTTTCTATGACTGGTCCAACGTCGTAATGAACAACGTTTAACTGACATTTGTCGTCGCTCCCGTAAGTGTTGAGAACGTCTAATATAGCTTCCACGGAGCCGGCAACGTCGCCCTTTATGATAACGTTAAGTTTAGGCAGCTCATTGTTCGTCTCATCTTTAGTAATTGGCAGTGATATCTTGAAATATTTTTTGTTTGATCTTCTAAATTCCAAATGCTTCTTATACTCCTAAAACCGGACGAAACATCGAATAAGACGAGACAAATAACGTGACAGTAATGTACTATTAGATCGTATCCAAAAGAATTTACTATCAAGTATTTTTCGTGCTTCTTCTCCGCCGCAATTTGATGCTCTTGCGCCAAGAGCTTAGCTTGTTCCATCTCTCTATAGCGTGTCACCATGCGCGCTTTCTTCTCATTCTCGACTTCTAATATCACCTCTCCGGCAGAAGGTAAATCCTTCCAACCCATTATTTGCACTGCTTCGGATAGTTTAGCCTCTGTGACTGGGTTCCCGGAATGATCAAATATGGATCTTACCTTAGCCCATGTTCGCCCACACACTATTAAGTAAATATTATATTAGTTCTTATGAGCATTTTCCTCCTGTAACATATGTTTGCGTTTTTTTCGAAAACATGCGAAACACTTGCCAAGACATGCACCCTTCCTCAGAGTACCGCGCTGAATTAAAATCGTCGACAACTTGCCGCGGTAAAGTTCGGTCGAACATTCGATCACGACGGCTTCGACCAAACCCGTCGGATCACCCTTCAGTCCGATCAGCTCGGCTTGTAACGCTATAGCCTCAGTCAAGGTGTTCACGTTGGTCCCGTGTAATGCTGATATATGAACGCTTTGAATATCCCCACCTAATGCCTCCACATGAATGCCCAATTGCGACAGCATATTTTCCGTCCTCGCCTGAAATATATATTCCCAGAGTCATTGTGTGCTCCACTTTTCACGGTACAGTATTCATCGAATTTTACGTACGATGTTAGCGTTGGATTTATCGATCTTATTAATCGCCACAATGATCGGGACATTCGCGGACTTTGCCATATTTATACTCTCTACTGTTTGTTCCATCACACCGTCGTCCGCCGCGACTACTAATACAACGATGTCTGTCACCTGTGCACCCCTCATTCGCATCACGTTAAACGCAGCGTGACCAGGGGTGTCCAGAAACGTGACTCTCTCTCCCGTTTTCAACGTTACTGTCGAACAAAATAGATAACAGAATATGGAAAACGTCGAGTAGTCGGTACTCTTGCACGAATATGATCAAATATTAAAGTGCATAGGGATTAAAAAAAGTGAATAAATAAATAATAAATTTTTCTATACATTAGTATTTGATAAAATCCGAGCAAGAGTGTTGAAAACCGATGAGTGTTGTGACGAGTGTCGATTATTGGAGGGTGTCTCCTAATCAGTGTAATACCTCTTAGGTACTGCCGCGAAACTTCGGATTAATGATGTAAGAAGTGAGAAAATGCAGGTCTAAAATTTTTGCGTGTTACTTTCAAACAAAAAGATATTTGTATGAAGGAACATTTTTGACCATTTAAATATAATTGTAAATTATCCCGGAAACTATTCTTTCCTCTTGACAGTCAATAAATAGCCGTATAATAAAGTTGACATATGACCTTCCTCTTTAATCTATTTTCTCTCATGATTTTGTCACATTAATTTTGCGGTTACTTATCGATTGTCAGAATAAAAGAAAAGTGTTTGAATTATTTTGCGTGTCTGTTCGAGCGATTGCAAGTGTTATGTTGTGAACATATAATTTTTTTTCAATGTATTTTGTGAGAATTTCCAACGTGTTTTCTCGCTTCTGTCTTCATGAATCAAGATGGTTGTATTGAGGGACTAGGAGCCTTAAGAGCGAAAATTCGTTGAGAATATTCGCGCAACAGATTCAACAGTTGATGAAACTGAAAATGTTTGAAAAGATCATATTACATACCATTGAAGGCTCCAATATGTTGAGTGATACCACCAAATTCTGTGTCTACAACAGATGTGTTACGTAATGTATCTAGTAAGGTTGTCTTGCCATGATCGACATGACCCATAATCGTCACCACTGGATGACGCTTTACCAAGACAGATTTATCTGGTGGAGGCCTGGTCAATAAAGTAAGAATAAGATCTGCCACACACATTTTTGTCACGATTGGTTAGTCTTATTAATTTTATTAGCATGTTACCGCTTGGTGACATCATGATCCTTCGTATCCATGTCCTCTTTATCTGGTCTGGTTATTATTTTAAATTTTACCCCAAGTTTTCGTACAGTGTTTTGCAGTACCTTTTTATCTACTATAGCAGTATCTTGTTCGTAATGATTAAATGAGTCAGACAGATAAATTGCTTCAATGACGTCATTTATGTCCCTTTTAGTTGAGTTTGATAATTCTTGTACTGTCATTTCATTCCAAATATCCACTACTGGTAATATTTTCTTTTTTATATTTGCTACATTCTCCTAAAATAGATAAATGCAGTATCTTTGTGTAATATTTATTTATAAATTAATAATGTTTATACACAGAAAAGCCAAAGAGAATTTAATCTTTACCTTATGTTTCTTAAAGTATTGTGGTGTTGTGTGGTAACATTGACATTGAACACATGTTAGAAATAAACCCTGCGAGATATATTTCCTTACATTTTTACTTTTAACAATATCATAGAGTGGTTGCTTCAGTGAGCTGTAAATTATAACACAAAATTCTCACAGAAAATGCATTCTTTGTCAATCTAGACTTAGGTAATTTAATTAAATCAATTCAATTATTAAAAATATTATTCAATTAAAATATTATTCAATTAATTCAATTAATTATACATGTTCAGAACTTTATTTAATGAAAAGATAGCAATTATTGTTTAACACTGCGAAGCACAGGTTATGTTTATTTCGCATAAAAGTAATCTTACAGTTGCTCGTAATGTTATCATATCGACACAGATGTATTACGAAGCGGATGTTGAAATGTGGTGTTGATTATCGCGAGTCTTGTCAAGAAAAAGAAATAATCACCTGAATTCTGTACACGTTCTAATCAAGGAAGCAGCCATAGCTGCATCACTGTCTATTATGCAACCGACCTTACAGATTCTGTAAGATTTACCGACCACAATAACGCATGTATGTTGCTACGAAGTTCCAAGAGTTGTCAGAGAACATCGATGGCGCGCGCATTGATAATCAGCCACCACAGATGTCTATACTAAAGCCCGTATCAGACTATAGATTAAGATTGAGATTGAATTGAAATTTAGTCAATCAGAGCAAAATTCACTAAGCTCATGTTTAGTGAATTTTGCTCTGATTGGCCAATTTTCAATTTAATCTCAATCTTAATCCGTAGTCTGATACGGGCTTTAGGCTGCATTCGGAAACGTCACTCGAGTACTCTCCCTCTCTTTTTATCTCACTCTTATATTTCGCTCACTCCAACAGCTATCGTCCAGTAGTGTGCACACAGTGTGTTTCCGAACCTAAACTAGATTGTCAGAGAGAAACCTGAGAGCAGCCACGCCATATGTTTTGGTCGACACCAATTTTCACGCTATTCGATGCGCCAAGAACATGGACAGTCCATATTTTCAATCACGCAATTATGTGCTTAACACGGACACGATCGCCAGAAAATGGGCATAGAATGGACACACAACAAATCGATACTTTACCGGTAGCGTTTGAAAATGGGCGTGGTTTCACCAAAAAATGGGTGCAGATGGCGCATCAAACAGCATGAAAATCGGTGTCGGCCAAAACGTATGGCGTGGCCGCTTTCAGGTTTCTCTCTGCACACACCCTTACATAAAGGCATACGCACAATGCATAAGAAAATTGACCAATCAGAGTTCTCATTTCTATTGCCACGATGAAAATGAAGGACTTTGATTGATCAACTTTCTTATGCGTGTGTTTTATGCAAGAGTGTGTGCTTTCTGCTTAAGGGTGAGTTCCCACTTATCATGCGTCGCGTCGTCCGTCGCGTCACGAGTTAAACCAATCAAATCATCCCATTTTATTGCGTAACTTTACAACGAAAAAAATGGAACGATTTGATTGGTTTAACTTGTGACGCGACGGATGACGCGTGCGTGACGCGCTAAGTGGGAATGCACCCGAAACGCCGTTGACACTTCGTAAGTGAGAAAGAGAAAACGCACTTGCTTTTTATTCTTTCTATACGTTTTTCTATGCATTATATGTATAGAAAAATAACAAATTAGAAAGCCAGGAAGAGGAATAAGAGATACTGGTTTCCAAAATAAACCTACGCCTGTAAGAGAACGAAGAAGATATTTGTTCCCTTCGTTTCCTATTGCGTTTGCTCATCTCAATAGTTGTATGAATCCCTTTATTATGAATATTCAGCGCGAGAGTATTCTTTACTAACTTTTATAACCGTATTGCTTTCTTCAGATGCAGATTCACGATTAGACCTCAGGTCGATTCCGATCTCTATATTATGTCAATATCGTTGGACTAACTTCAAAGCTCATGATGGCACACGCTGAGGAGGAGGAAGATCAAGTTGTGTTGAGTTATCATGACAGTCTGCTGAGATTATCAGACGTGAACTTGCTGAAGGGAACTCATTGGCTGAATGATGCTGTCATTGGGTTTTACTATGAGTACCTGACTCAACAGTATCAGAAGGATGGTAACATTCAGCTATTATTTATGAATCCTCCATTGACTCAGTTGCTGAGAATGGAGAACCCCACGAATTACGGCACGTTTCTTGACACCGTGGACGCAAAGAACTACAGCTTTGTATTCTTCCCTCTGAATAATTGCGACAGCTTGGTATCACCAGGTGGCACACACTGGAGCCTACTGGTGTATTCTCGCACTGATCAGATGTGTTACCATTATGATTCATCTAGCACTTTCATCAACAGTTTCATCGCGTTTGATTTCACAATGAACCTGATCAAATATTTCCTTGGTAAGCCAAGAAGGAGATACAATGAAATGATATCACCTTATCAAACGAATGGCCACGACTGTGGCCTGCATATCTTATGTCTGACAGATGTGATCTCCAGACATATTCTGAGGACGTCTAAGATAAGTGACTGCGACTTTAGGGCGATTCCAGAAATGGTACAATACAAGCGTACTCAGTTGTTGAATTTGATTGAGACTATAAAGAGTACCCATTCTACTGATAACGAGTAAAAGGTGTCATCGCTTTTGCTGTGCATTAAGGCTTCTGGTTCTTCATCGCGGAACTTTCGATTAATTAAGCGAGAAAACGCATATCCAAACTTCTTGCGAAATACGCTAAAATAAAAGGATACATTGATCCTTATAATCGATTGAGCATATTTGTAAAATATTCAAAACATTTTCTTTTTGTTCTAGCAATCAATAAATAATCGTAAAATTAACGCGACATGCAACCTTTCTTTTTAACCTACCTTTCCTCATAATTTTGTCACGTTAATTTGTACTTATTGATTGTTAGAATGACAGGAAAGTTGTCGGAATATTTCAAAAATATGCTCAGTCGATTTCAGATGTCATTTTATAGACATAATATTTTATTTAGACGCATTTTGCAAGAATTCTGAACATTGTTTCTTCGCTTCTGACGTCATTAATCAAGATGGCAATCGCCGCGAGTACCTAGAAACCTTAAGCTGCGTTCGAAGAACACTTTTTGACGCTATGAGTGCGCTCTGGCCGTTCGGAGAGTCGTTTCATAGCGCCAATAGTAATGGCATGACGTTGCTGTTTGTACATTGCAATATCATCTACATTAATGGGCGCGCAGGGTTTCGAGGTGAGACACCAAACGTTCATAGCATTCTTAATTTGCTGCGCGAACGATTCCCTGCCTTCATCTTGTTCAATTTAACAAGTGTGCACATGTACTTGTCTATATTATCTTTAGTTAAAGCAACATGATTGCAGTCTCGCTAGACGATGCAAACACGATTTTATCTCTCGTTTATCTCGCGGCTTCATCGTCTTGAAGACGAAAAAAGCTTACACGAGATAAGAGGGATTTCGTACCACATCTGAGTTACCGACGGAGCAACGCGCGAATGTGACGGGATTGCGAGTGGCAACGCCAGATGCCGCGTGTAGTCTAGTGTCGCCGAAGTCTCGTGGAGGACTCGCATCGCGCCCGTCGTACTTTAGACGCGAAGCCTATTTTTATTCGCCGCTAACGTCACGCGCGATTCGTGTCACGGCCTTCACAGTGCACGACGTTTCGATTCGTTCTTTCGCGCCCGCTCGTCCGCGCGAGAGGCGATTGTCACGCGCGCAATCGCTGCCGTCGCGACTGCTTCGCGGTGTTCGCGAGTCGCCAGCGAACGCGCGAGCGTTACAGTCCGAGTGTGCGGGGAACTGTCTCTTACACGACCTGTTCGCGACGCGACCGCGGGCCCCGCGACTTGGGTGAAAGCCCACGTGGCCCGACCCCGCCGCCACGGTGTGACAGCAGTAGGTGTCCGACAGTGCGCGACGAACGACGCTCGACGTGTTGTTTCTCTTGCAGATCGCGTTCTCATATTTGACACATTCAGCAGAATGGATTGCAGCTCGCACACTCTGGAGTAACTCATTCATTTCCATCGGAGACGAATGCTTACGTTTCCTGTAGTAGTAGGGTCGGTACTACTCTTCGAGGTGAGTGATCGCCGATCTCCGCGATTCTCCTCGCGATTGGAGACTGGCGGATCCGTGATTAGATACATATGTTAAACGAGAAACGCGTTATACGAATTTGGCGAAAACCTTTAGGGGAAGAGAGAAAGGGAATGAGACGGCAAGAACAAAACATGATAGTTATGAGATTGTTCTTGAGTATCATGCGTCGTTGCAAGTGAAGAAAAGAAAACAGAAAAAATCGGCCCAACGATCGCTGACTGTTTGCGTTAAGTTAAAAATCTGTATCTACATCTTATCGTGATATCACAGATTATTGAAGATATACGGTTGAAAAAATGCGCATTGTCGATATTGTATTAAATGTTGGCGAATCAGCAAACGTTTCGTGCGCCGATACGAATTCTTCGTGATTAAATGTCTGTTTTTCTCTCTCACTCTCTCGGCTCGTTCACCTCGTTTTAGTTCACCTCGGATTTAGTTTTCTGCTGCGCCAGTTTACTTGTAATTCTTTTATTTGTGTTATATAACGTGTCTGCCGTGTTTTCCCGTGGCGATCGACCACTCGCTCGCAAATAGGTTCATATACGCGAAAGTTAGAATTGACCCGTTTGTCGAAAGAGAGAGGTAGAGAGAAAGATATGCATGTATATATATATATATATATATATATATATATATATATATAT